CCCGCCAAAGCCCCTCGCGGCCCGAGTCGAGGTGTCACGACCCGCTTCCAAACTCCGCTGAAAGTGCGGCTGCCGGATGTAAACTCTGGCTCCATCACTTAGTAGCCGAGTGCTCCTGGCAAACTTTTTTGTGTCTTAGTTTTGTCGTCTGTAAAGTAGGGATAATAATTGCACCTGCCTCGTAGGGTTGTTAGAATTCAGTGAGAAAACGTAAAGTTGTCAGCAGATGATGCCTGATACACTCAAGGAGTCACCCTTAATTATGATTACTACTACTATTACTGCTGCTGCAGCTGTGTGACGAGACCTGTGCCGAATGGGAGGCGGGGAGCCTGGGTCTCTTTCCCAGCGGAGCCAGGCCTCCCCATGGCACTGTTTTCCCATTTGTGAAGCGAAGGTTACAGTGGTTGCCCCATTTATCGCAGGGAGCTTCGTTAGCACACTCCAGATGAGACAGATGAGAGTCAAGTCCTTTGAGTTCTGCAGAGAAAAACTGGTGGTAAATATAGCCAATGAGTGCGAAGTGACATGAATTAGTAATCCAGCACACCTTTCCCCAAGGATCTTTTGTTCTCTTTTGCTTAGCATTTCCCCAGCTTCATATCTGCTCTCCCGTTTTTGCATCCCCTGGGTTAAGTTCCTTTATTCCCTGGCGTCTCAACAATTGAAAAATTATAAGATTAACTTGTTTCCCCTCTTTTTGGATTCTTTCCCTTTTTTTCTGAGTGAATTCTGCCTCCCAGGATGATGCTTGGATGGTCCTATTTATCTCTCCAGTTAGAATAAATCAAAAGGTCTATGTGCATAGGTGTCTTGTGTCCATTTCTTTGCTGTCCTCCTAACAGGTAAATTAGGAACTGTAAGCAAACTGTGATTTTTTTTTTAAATTTTGGTAAGTTTACATCCACTGGGCTGACTATCTTATTCAACGCCTCTTTTATGGAGCTTTAGACTTCTGACATTTTAATTGGAACTAAGACCCTTGGTAGAAGGCATTTTGTCCACGCTCATACCTGTTGTGCGGGAGCTGAAGATTGTGGAAATTTTAAACGATTGCCTTGAACAAGGACCCCTGTTGCCTCTTAGTTGTGGAAACTGAGTTGCACAGAGACACCTGCTTTTCTTTTTCTTTTTGAGTTGGAGTCTCACTCTGTCGCCCAGACTAGAGTGCAGTGGCTGCTCCCGACCACCGCAGCCTCGACCCGCTGGGCTCTGGCGATCCTTCCACCTCAGCCTTCCAAGTAGCTGGAACTACAGGCGCGCACTACCACGCCCGGCTGATTTTTGATTTATTGTAGAGATGAGGTCTCACTGTCCAGGCAGGTCTCGAACCCACGGGCTCAGGCAATCCACTCACCTCAGCCTCCCAAGGCGCGGGATGACAGTCTGAGCCACCGAGCCCGGCTGACACCTGCTTCTCTAACCATCCTGGTGATGCCTGAGCCAGGATAGAGGGGTTACACTAACTGATCCTCCATGTTGTCCTCACCAACAAATCACGTTCTGCATTTCCAGCTCTCACATAAATAAATATACACTATTTCTGAGTGGCTTGAAGGATTTGCCCAGCTGTGAGGAAATAGAGGACTGGAGAACAAGTCAGGAGACCTACCTGAGTTCCAATTCTGGCCCTAACTTATGTGATTTGGGCAAGTCTTTTCATCTCCTCTCTTGGCTGGCTCCGTTTCCCATCTGCAGAACATCTCCAGAACAAGGGAGCAGAGCAGGTGGCTTCAAGGTGCTTCAGAGTTAAGATTCTGTAATGTCTGCGTGGTTTATAACTTTGAACTTGTATGTGTAAAGGTTTAGAGACATCATCATTCTTATTTAATGTTCCTTTTAATGTAGGGAGTTTATTTGTCATTGCTTTTGAGACTTGGCTGTCTCCCTTATGAGAGTTCTTGATGAGGTTGTTTTACAGAATGGAACTAACTTTAAGAATGTTAAGTTTGACCAGGTGGTAGGGCTGGGGGGCGGGGCTGTAATCCAATGCCGTGTGAAAGATGCAAAGAATTGTATGGAAGTTAGGTTAGAAAATATAATTTAGACAGTAGATGAGAGAGAGGGAGGGAGGGAGGAAGGAAAGGAAGAAAGAAAGCAGAGATTTACCTCCTCAAGGTAGGGGAGGAGGCCAAAACTTAGGGAGAAGCATGGCTGCCATAGCTCAGTGAACACATGGCCTGGCCAGAGCTTAACAAAAGCAATGGCTGCTGCTGTTTGAGGGTGAATGCCTTTTAAACCTTCCCCTTGATGGGGCAAGTCGTTAGGGTGATTGGGTGGTGGTCTGTTTCACATCATCATGAAGGGACAGTCAGCACAGGTATTGAAGTCGGGTGATGGATGACAGGCAGATGGGTGGGTTAGTCACATGACTGTTGCTGGGGTGATGGAATATGTTTGTGTTACCTCCCCCATGACTGATGATGGAATGGATAGGCAGGCCAGCGTGGATAAGAGGGGCAGATCACTGAAAGACAAATTCCTTGGGAGATGTCAATCTCCTGTGTCTTGCGACCTGCCCAGGGTTCTAGGAAAGGGTTATTGTTTGGCTTTAGGAGGCCAGAGAAATTCCATTTTGGGCTCTGTCCTTTCAAAGAAGGTGTTTAATGATCGTCAGAGCATATTTCTTTAGCACCATCTTGTATAAGCCCTGTATCTAATGCAAGAGGATTCACAGACTTGGAACTGGAACGAAGTGAATCCAACTCCTTCATTTTATGAGTATGTGGAAACATACAAACAATAGCAGATACCTGTAGCATGAATCTTGTGTTGCAGGCACTGTTCTAAATTCTTAACATATATTAGCTTACTTAGTCCTCCCATCATCTTTTGCGGTAGGTTCTCTATTAAATGACCAAGGAGTGGGGAAATTAAATAACTTGCACAAGACTGTACACCATAAAGTGACAGAGCCGGACAACTTGCCTGGACTAGGGATATTGCCAGAGTTAGCCCAGGACCTGACTTGCCTGTCATCAATGACCTAAATTGTTGTTTCACTAAAAGGAAAAGATCCTAAGAAACCATCTATTGTTTGTTTCCTCTGGTTTTATGTAGAGTAATTATGTGAGCTGCTTCAGTAATGTGGTTGCACAGGATTGATGAAATGAACACAAAAGCTTTTGTGTTTGAACTGAGTGACCCAGGAAGAGCTGACTAGCAGTTGACTAACTTGAGACACATCTCTTTATTGCCTCTTTTTTAGTTTGCTGTGTTGCACGATGTGTCGTAAAACTAGTCTATGTGTATACCCATGTGTTATTTCTGCTTGCTTCTTGAGAAGCAGAACATTTCAGGGATGAGGACAGCTGCCTCCATTGCTGTTTCTAAGCCTCTGCTCCTTGCTAGGCACTGCTCGCTGCTGGGAATGTGCTGATAAATAGAGTGCTTGCCCTCGGTGTGGGCACCGTCTGCTCCCAGGCAGTAGTTGCAGCGCAGGGTAATGACTGTTGAATAGAACAGCTGGCAGCTCCTGCAGCTCGTGCTTCTTCGGGGGCTTATCTCTTGACCCGGAATTAGCACCCTTTTGAGATAAGGTAAAGACAGCAGCTCCTTGTTTGCTTTGCTGGTGCTTTGTTTTGTGCTTTGTTTGCATCTGTTGCAGTAGGCATAACTGAAACAGAAATGAAAGACTTAGTTCTGAAGTTGACAGTGAGTGGCCCAGCTCAGAATAGCCCTCTCCACCCAACCAGGCCTTTATTTTCTTAAGCAGGATAACTCAAAACATAACCTCGTAGATTTGTGTCTTCATTGTGGAGGTGTTTTGTACTGTTGCTTCTTTTTTAAAAAAATTTTTTTTGAGTCAGATTCTCACTCCGTCACCCAGGCTGGAGGGACGGCCCACAGCAGCATCAACCTCCTGGGCTCAGACCATCCTTCTGCCTCAGCCTTCCAAGCATCTGGGACTATAGCTGCGTGCCACCACACTCAGCTAGTTTTTTGTAGAGATTAGGTCTTGCTATGTTGCCCAGGCTATTTTTGAGTTCCTGGGCTCAAGTGATCCTCCCGCCCCGATCTCCCAAAGTGCTGGGATTACAGGTGTGAACCACCACATCCAGCCTGTTGCTCTTTTGTATAACACATTTTTCCTTTCAGTAGACTTGGTTCTTTCTACTAAGACATCTCTCCCTCTGCCAAACTTTGTTTTTAACCTTAAATGTTCCTTAATAGTCAGTGCTATTAAAATTGGGACGTTATCAATTGCATGCAATTCTTGAGAATATCTAGTTGTTAGGTAACACCTACTTTCTTTACTCTGAAGTAAAGGAATGATACAGAGCTGAGTCTGTATCCATAGGGCTTTTGGTTTTGTTTCTCTGGCCAAGCATACTCTCAAGAGTATAGGGTAGTAGAGAAAGGATAGAATTCAAATCCTAAATCTGCCACTGTTACCTATGGCAAGTTACTCAACCTATCTGAGCCTGTGTTTGGACATGTGTAAAATTAAAATACAAGAGCTACTTAAGTTATTATGAAGGAAAAATAACATGTAAAGTGTCTGCACGCCTGTATTCCATAGTCACTCCATAAATTATTGCCGTTATTCTCTTTGTAGGTGATATACACCAGTGTCTTTCTGGCCTTTTTGTGGGATTTTGAGCAATTAGTGTGCCTTTGCCTGGTCCTTGGTCTCATTCCTTCTTTATGTTTCAGAATATCCTTGTTGCTCCAAACCTAAGTTGAGTGGACATGGTGTAGTGAATGTGGATAGCCAAACAGTGTTCTGAGTAGCTTGGTGTATTTTTTCCAGGGCGATCACTGACTAGTTAAAGTGGATAGGGAAGACTGCAGTCTTCCTGCCAGTTCTAAAGAGTCACAGTCACATGTTCAGCGTATAAAGAAAAAAGACACTTGTGATGTAGTTTTCTGGCAGGTATCCCAGGTGAGAGCTTGATAGTAGGATGATCAGAGAACATCCAGCTCCAGTCACTCCCAAATGTGAGAGCCACCCTGCTGTTGACCTTCAGTGCCTGCTGACCTGAGTTTACATCCCAGCCTTGCTTTCCTGTAGGGAGAGGCTGAACAAGTTTCTTAACCTTGATAAGCCCCAGTTTCATAATCTGTGAAATGGGGCTAATGGAACCATAGTATCTACCTCCTAAAGTTGTTGGAAGGATTAGATGAAGCACAGCGTCGGGCTCATAGGCAGGACAGAGTAAGGGACAGTGATCGTTTTCTTTCTACCCTTTTTGCGGAGCTCTGTCTTTACCTGTCACTTCTCATTTTCCATTCCACCTTTATTCCTAAGAGAATTAAAGGCAATAAACAGGATTTGGCTAAATGGACATCAGTAGTATTTTGAAAAAGTGAAATGGCCACAATCCACTTATATCACTTCTCATTCTCCTGAGTTAGTATTTTTTTAACCTCCTGGTTGACATCCATCAGTGGATTATGAAATCCATTGGGTCAGAACCACGATTTTTATTTACAGATGGAATAGAATAGAAAAAAAACTACAGTGTTTATGCATGCTGTTGGTAAATATTGTCCTTTGTTCAGGTCCTGAGGTATTTCATACAGTATTGAGATCGCTCAGAGAACTGTCATTCAACCGCGACCCCACTATGGGCATCTGCCCAAAGGAAGATAAATTGTTACATCAAAAAGACACCTGCACCTGTATGTTATTGCAGCACTAGTCACTATAGGAAAGTCAGGGAACCAACCTAAGTGCCCATCTAGAGGACTAGAAAGAGGATGTGGCATATATACACCATGGAATATGAACTGCGCAGCCATCAAAAAGAATGAAATCGTGTCTTTTGCAGCAACATAGATGGGGCTGGAGTCCATATCCTAAGTGAAATAACAGAATCAGAAAATCAAATATAGCATATTCTCCCTTACAACTGGGAGATAAACAGTTGTATACATGGACATACAGAGGGAGATAATAGGACTGGGGACTCCAAGGGTAAAAAGCGGGGGGGGTGGCGAGGGAAGGGTCGAAGAATTGTCTTCTGGGTACAGAGTTCATTGTTCAGCCCAAACCTCACCATCATATAGTGGAACCACATGACAAGCCTGCACATGCGCCCTCTGAATCCATTAAATAAATTGTAAAAATTTAAGAAACCATAAAAAAGTTTAAAGAACTCTTCTAGCACACAAATGAGGCACTGTATGAGTTCTGGGATGTTGTTTTGCTCTCACTGAGAGTTTTTAAAAAATGAAATTACAGTTTCCTTACCCACTGCACTGTGGTTCTGTTGATAAGGCTTAGTAATGTAGACAGTATGTCGGTCTTGGAGTAGGTATTTTAGCCTGGAAGACCTGGGCGAAGCAGGATAAGCACGCACTGCTGTGAAGCGCACCAGAGTTTGTGGAACAAAGTCAAGGGCAGAGCTGTGTGGTGGGAGGTAACCATCCCATGCTTAGGGTCCCACTCTAGTTTACTGGGGATGCTTTGGAGTCAGTTTTGTTCTCTTACCTGAGATAGGCTAGAAAAAGAAAGAAGAAATTGCAGTTCCTTTGCAGGGAAATAATGAGCCTTAATAATGAATTGTTTCTGTAAAGTGCTTTGATAATACCTTCTTGAGGACCTTCCTGTGACTTGTTCGCCATTCTATACCCCATGGGATCTTTTCTGAAGTAGAGAGCCAATTGTTGCTCACAGAGTATTTTCAGTTCCCACTGTCCTGGGCACATTAAGTGAAGTCCTTTGAGTAAAGGTATCTCTTATGTGATACCTGATACTTGTTCATACACTATCCAACATATAAGTATTTCTTTAGTGCTCAGTGTGTGCCAAGTGCCCTGTATAAAAATGATAGGAATTACTTTTCAGGTAATGGCTTTGGTCAGCTGTGCTCAGAGCACTGAGGAATTTTTCATCCTAGAAGAGGTACGCTAGAATTCTTGTTACATTGCTGTTTAAGTTTTGTGCCCAGAGTTGCCACTGGTGGGCCCAGGGGACGTGAAATTTTCTGGCTATGAAATTTGATTGAATAAAATATGATGAAAAACATGGAGTATCTTTTTTTTTTTTTTTGAGTTGGAGTCTTACTCTGTCACCCAGGCTGGAGTACAGTGGTATGCTCACAGCCACCACAGCCTCACTGGGCTCAGGTGATCCTTCCACCTCAGCCTTCCAAGTAGCTGGAACCACAGGCATGCTCCACCATGCCCGGCTAATTTTTTTTTTTACTGTAGAGATGAGGTCTCACAATGTTGCTCAGGCTGGTCTCGAGCCCCTGAACTCAAGTCATTCCTCTTGCCTCAGCCTCCCAAAGTGCTGGAATTACAGGCATGAGCCACTGCACCTGGCTACATGGAGTATTTTAAGAGGGAAGAGTAAGACAATCCTGCAAGACGTTCACCATTACAGAAAACCAGACTGCTGGTGACTTCTGGGTGGTTACACTGTATGAGTTCTGGGATGTTGTTTTGCTGTCACTGAGAGTTTTACAGATTACAGAAAACCAGGCTGCTGGTGACTTCTGGGTGGTTACACCATAGCAGTGAGCACACTCTAGGTGCACAGGTAGGCCTGACCTTGTGTATAGTTTATGGACTTGGGTGAAGAGGCTTTTTTAAGATATTTTTTTAATTGGATGCACTTACTGGTATGTAGGTAGGGGCTAAAGTCAAGGCAGATAATACTCCTCAGTCTTTTTTAAAAATTGGTTTTCCTTCCCTGGGCCTGACATTCACATTTCCCCCACACTGCAGTCTAAAGGATTAGAAAAGGGATTCTGAATTAAAGCTCCAGGAATCAACTCATACTGGCATTATCAATAAAATAATAAAGCCAGAGGGCCAACAGGTACCTCCCTCCCATTGCACTTTGTGCATGTAGCTTGTGTGTGTGTTTTCTAGCTCCTTTGCCATTTTCCCACTTAGAAATAAAATGGACCCTCTATCTTATTTTCTTCCAGACTCGCTCTTTGCTGAGTGTGTTTGAAGAAGATGCTGGCACCCTCACAGATTATACCAACCAGCTGCTCCAGGCGATGCAGCGCGTCTACGGAGCCCAGGTATGTGCCGCCCTCATCTGGAGAGAGTAGAGTAGGGCCCTCTGCCTTCTTCTGGAACTTATCTCGGAGGTTGAGAAATTGGAATCAGAGAAAAGTCATTTAGCATTTTTTTAAAGCATTGTACTTTATTTATTTATTTATTTCTTGAGTTGGAGTCTCACTCTGACGCCCAGGCTGGAGGACAGTGGCACGTTGCTCACGGCCACTGCAGCCTCTATCTGCTGGGCTCAGGCACTCCTTTTGTCTCAGCCTTCCAAATAGCTGGAACTACAGGCATGTGCCACCACGCCTAGCCAATTTTTCTTGATTTATTGTAGAGACGAGGTCTTGCCAAGTTGTCCGGGCTGGTCTTGAACCCATGGTGTCAGGTAGTCCTCTCACCTCGCCCTCCCAAAGTGCTGGGATTATAGGCATGAGCCACCGTGCCCAGCCTAGGGTTTTTAAATAAAATCAGAATTTTTTTTCCTACTCCTGTTCACCTAAAAAAACTAAGGACAGTCTGTTTCATGGCTTAAGAAAAAGGGTAAAAAGAAGGATGACACAACTGCTTGTAATTTTTTTAAAACATCAACCCGGAGGGAAACATTTGAGTCTCTTCTTCCTATTTGTGAAAGAGTGGGTTCAGTATTTTGAGACATGCTCTTTGTCTTTCTCATAAATGGGCAGTCTTAGATGTCAGTGTGGGAGGGTAGAGATGTTTTTTCAAATGCTTCCTCTGAAAAGATTTGAGTCACAGTTCTGAAACTATTGGGTGGCTTCTTTGTTTTGTGGAACAAATATCTTTGGCTTGCAAAACCATGGAAAATAAATTGCTGAGTGGCAAAAGTGAATCGTTTTAAGATCAAAAAGTGTTCACGTATGTTACTTTCTAAGAGAAGGTTTATGAATTGCTTAGAAATAAAATTATGTGTCAAAATATTATGGCAGCTGATCATTTTTATTATTGATTCCTTGCCAGTATAAATGTATATGTGTGAATGATTCTTTTTCTCATTGATGAATCTTAAGAAATATAGGTTGATTCGTGATCCGCCTGGGCAACTTGGTGAGACCTCATCTCTACAATAAATCAAAAATGAGCTGGGCACGTGGTAGCGCATGCCTGTAGTTCCAGCTACTTGGAAGGCTGAGGTGGAAGGATTGCCGGAGCCCAGTGGGCCGAGGGCGGTGGCCGGGAGCGGCCACTGCACTCCAGTCTGGGTGACAGAGTGAGACTCCAACTCAAAAAAAAAAAAAAAAAAAAAAGGAAATATAGGTTGAGCATTCTAAATCTGGGCATTCAAGATCCAAATGCTCTAAAATCTGCAACCTTTTGAATGCTAGCATGGCACTCAAAGGTAATGCTCATTGGGACATTTTGGATTTTCAGATTAGTGTGCTCATGTAGTATCTGCAACTATTTCAAAATCCAAACTGTGGAATACTGGCCCCAAACATTTCAGATGGGGGATGCTCAACCTTTACCACATTCAGTAGTCTGTAACTCTTAATAGTCATGTATAGCCATTTATTATTATAGCATGTAATACTCATATTACTGCTCATTGTTTTATTAGTGATTCATTCATTTATGGGAAGAAGATCCAGTCCTTGCCATTAGGGAGTTTACAGTTGAGAGGCAGACACACCAGTCACCAGGAGGTGTCGGAGGACTAGGAGAGGAGGGTCGCCGACACGAGTGGGCTTGTGCTGGCACCGTCAGAAGGGTGAATGTGATTGGTGAGCTTGATGGAAGACTGAGTAGCATCCAGGCAGTTCCAGGGGCTTTTGTATTGATTATTTCTTGTAAATTTTCCAACAACTCTGTGAAGCGGGTATTTTTATTATTATCCTGTTGCTTGTTTAGGCCAGGAGACTTTAGGGTTCTGATGATGAGTGACTTGTCTAAGCGCACCCAGCTAACTCGCTGCAGAGCAAGTCAGCCTGACCAGAGCTCACACTCTTCACCCCACGCATAGGATAGGTGGTGACCCGAGGCAGGGAGGTGGCAGTAGAAGTGGAAAGACGGAGATGGACTTCAGCGATTTTAGGAGTAGATTAGTACTGATGGGTGTGAAGGGGTGGGACGTGACAGATGAATCGAGAATGATGCCCAGGTCTTGAACTCAAACCACAGGGTTCACAGAGGGAAAACACAGGAGAAGGAGCAGGCATGGATGAGTGCATGTCTGTGGTGGGAAGGTCCACTGGAATTCTCTCCGGAAACATAGATAGTGAGGTGTCCATGGGGCATCAGAATAGGGAAAGAGATCTTGTTGGAAGTTTAGATCAGCCGGGCTCGGTGGCTCAGCCTGTCATCCCGCGCCTTTGGGAGGCTGAGGTGAGTGGATTACCTGAGCCCGCGGGTTTGAGACCCGCCTGGGCAGCGAGACCTCATCTCCACAATAAATCAAAAAGTCAGCCGGGCATGGTAGCATACGCCTGTAATTCCGGCTACTCGGAAGGCTGAGGCGGAAGGATCGCCGGAGCCCAGCAGGTCGAGGCTGCGGTGGCCGGGAGCGGCCACTGCACTCCAGTCTGGGCGACAGAGTGAGACTCCCACTCAAAAAAAAAAGAAAGTTTAGATCCACAGTTCAGGGCTGGAGATACAGATATGCAGACTGTGCAGTAATACGTAGTGTAACTTATTGATTAGGACTAGTTATAACAATCAAGAGTCATGTGCTCCTTTTTGATTTTGCTTTTTTGTTCGTTTTCAGAATTTGGGAACATGAGTCTTTTGTCAATTTTTAATTTGAAACCCGATAAGGGTACATTTTTATATTTTTTCCTAAATATTCTAAATTTAAGAAAACAGAAGTGTTTTTACTGGGCTTATACCTGAACTTGCTTGCTATTCAGTAATTTGTATATTGTCTTTAAAGATCTGTCTCTTCCCCAACCTGGATGACAGACAGAGAGAGAAACCCTGTCTCAAAACAATTATAATAATAAATAAAATTTTTAAAATGATTTGTCTCTTATTTAAGGTTTAAAATTCCCAAGGCTTAAGAGATGGTACCTCTGCCACTCCTAGGAGTCTCTCTTCCGCCTTCCTGTGTCTGTCAGAATAATTTGCTTGGAGATGTCCAAATACTCTCTTACGCATTTTTTTTATTTTTTTTTTTTGAGGCAGAAGGCTACATTTTGCCAACATTAAGTGGGTCTTGCATTCCGAGAAGCTGTAACCCAACTTTTAATTCACAGCACATGATCATCACGTGGGTTTTCCTGCTGGCCAGAACCTTTCCTCCTGTCTTGGCTCTTTCCATGGCAGAGACTGGTGAAATGCCTGGGTTGTGCGCCAGACTCAGAGACAGAGTCAAACAGTGATCGACTGTGTCGGGTTGGCTGGGTCGGGTCAGTTGGTTTTTCAGGCTGATTTGAAAGCTTCAGTGTTTTGTATCTTTTTAATTGAAAAAGAAAATTTTTCTACTCCTTTTTTTGATCAGTTTGTTTTGATATAGTTTTTTTAAGATAGTAATACATAGTTTTCATTCAAGTTTTTTCTAGAAGTTATGTTTTCTTGGTTTTATTTCATTTTCTTAAATAATTTATATCTAGAGATGTTGAAGTCTGTTGATAGAGTTTTATAATTTCTTTTTGAAAAACAGATTCTTAGCAAGACATAGTTTTTCATTTATATATATATTTTTGACATTTAAGGAGGTTTTGTTTATTTTTAAAGATTACTCTAGTAGAGTAATGCATGCACATAGTTTAGTATGTCTAATGGTTTTTTTGTTTGTTTGTTTTTGAGTTGGAATCTCACTCGGTCACCCAGACTGGAGTGCAGTGGCTGCTCCCGGCCACCGCAGCCTCGACCTGCTGGGCTCCGGTGATCCTTCCACATCAGCCTTCCGAGTAGCCGGAATTACAGGCATGCGCTACCACGCCCGGCTGACTTGTTGATTTATTGTAGAGATGAGGTCTCGCTGCCCAGGCGGGTCTCGAACCCGCGGGCTCAGGCAATTCACTCACCTCAGCCTCCCAAAGGCGTGGGATTACAGGCTGAGCCACCAAACCCGGATTGTCTAATGGTTTTATAAAAAATTATTTTGTG